GACGTTGGATGTTGTTGCTGTTGTTGGTTGGTTATTTTCATAACCTCCGTCTTGTCTATGTTTACCTGGAGTCCTGTCTTCGCCGGCTGCTTCTTCGACCAGTTTGTCGGTTTTCGCTTGTAAGTCTTCGATTTTGTGTGACATCAAACATAAATCATCCACGCGCGAAATCCAGGTCTTCTAGGTTCTTCACGTCGGTCAGTCCAGGATATCCCTCTCTTCTCACTCACCACACACTGTCTGACGCATAATCCAGTCAGTCCACCACAATTAGGAATATCGTTGGTGATAATAAGCACACCCTTGTCTGACTCCTGTGTTTACTCCAAACGCCTCGCTGAGTTTTCCGTTGTGGATCACTTGGCAGGTGCCGTTGTCGTACAGCCGTTGAATGAGGTTGATGGATATTTGGGGTACGCCATAGTACTCGAGTAATTTCCAAATTACTTCACGATCAACGCTGTCGAAGGCCTTCTCAAAGTCTATAAAGTTGAGGTAGAGGTTTGATTGCCATTCCATGCTTTGTTCGATGATGATGCGTAGAGTTGCAATTTGGTCAGTACATGATTTGCCTTTCCTGAATCCAGCTTGTTCTGGTCGGAGTTCTGTCTCCAGTGCGTCCTTTAATCTCTCCAGGATGATGCGACTCAGGATTTTACTTGGCGTCGATAGGAGCATGATTCCTCGCCAGTTCTTGCAGAGTCCTAAGTCGCCCTTCTTTGGTAGTTTCACGAGGTAACCTTTCCTCCAGTCAGTAGGCACCTTTCCCTCCTTCCAGACCTTTTGCAATAATGGAGTCAGCATGTTTGCTGTAGTCTCTGGGTCTGCTTTCAGTGCTTCAGGTGGTATTCCATCTGGTCCGGCTGTTTTTCCAGCTTTCAGAAGTTTGATTGCATTCAAGACTTCAGCTTTCGTTGGAGGATTGGTGTCAACTTGCAGTTGTGTGTGCGTTGTTGTTGGTATTTCTGGACGGGTTGCAGGTGGCGGTCTGTTTAAGAGTCCTTTGAAGTGATCCGCCCATTGTTTAATCTGTTTTTCTTCCTTGGTAATGGGCTTCCCTTGGCTGTCTTTTATAGGTTTCGCTTGTGTTGGTCTCTTCCCGGATAGAGATTTGGTTATCTGATATAGTGTCCTCAGGTCCCTTTTGCCTGCTGCCTTCTCAGCTTCAGTGGCCAGGTTGTCGTAGAATCGTCTTTTGTCCTTCCTAGCACTCTTCTTCACTTCTTTGTCCAGTGTTGTGTAAGTTGAGCTCATCGTCTCTTTCTCCTGTCCGTCCTTGCATTGAATCATTTTCTCTTTCACCATTCTCCTCTCCTCTATTAATTTCCAAGTGTCCGTTGAGAGCCATTCCTTGTCTTGTCTCTTCTTTCTTCCTAGAACCGTTGAACACGTTTCGTTGAGAATCGCCTTCAGAGACTTCCAATGTTCTTCCACGCATGATTCTTCAGTGCTGTCGCGTAGTGTTTCCTGCTTTGCTCTGACAGTTGCAGTGAAGGTGTCTTTTGTGGTTGTGTCCTTCAGTAATCGAGTGTTGAACTTGCATTGTGGCCTATCCCCAGCTATCCTCGAGGCTTTTAGTTTCACCTTGAAAGTCCCTTGTACTAGATAGTGGTCTGAACCCACATCTGCTCCTCTCCTTGACCTTGTGTCCAGTAGGCTCCGTCTCCACTTTCTTGAAATTGAGATGAAGTCTATTTGATTCTTGGTGTTTCCATCTGGTGAAATCCATGTCGTCTTGTGTATATCCTTGTGTTTGAACACACTACCACCAATCACCAAATCATTGAAGGCGTAGAAGTCTGAGAAGAGTTCACCATTGTCGTTCATTTCACCGAGGGCGTCACGACCCATGGTGAGTTCTCTTCCTGTGTTGTCTCCCCCAGCTTCGCATTCATGTCGCCCATGTAATTATTTACGTCTTCTAAACCTAAAAATAACTCTAATCTTTCCTGAACATAACACCAACATGTGAAAATCTCTCAACTAGCTGCAATCTAACTCGAACCAAACCTACTGTCACTGTGTTAGGTTAACCTAACCCTAACTTTTCCTTGGCTTAAAGAGTAACTTAATCTTTCCCAAACCTAGGTTGAAACTTCCCAGATATCCATTGGATAGCATAACATTTCGATGCAGACATTGATGATCACAGGATTAGTTGTCGGATTTCACTAACTTGCTTAGTGAGCGTCTCAAGGTCACTGGTGCGATCACCCTTCTCCATTGGTGGTTAGTGGTGCTTGAAGTTTAACTTGGCCGAACAATGTTTGGTTGATACATCGGCTTAAACACTCGTCCTTTGTCTCCAGTGTTGCCCCCTCGCATAAAGCTCAGTTTGATCTTATCGCACAACAGACCTGTGCACAGCATGATTTATTTTCTAATACATGTTTATTGTTTCGTGGTTCATTTTGAAAAGTTTATCAGAATGATTATCTCACTGTGGAAAAAACAGCAGGATAAACAAAGTGGAACAATCACTCCAGTTACAGTTTACACGTCTCATATTTACATATTGTAATCCTTGTGAAACCAGTATAACGACTCGATGAGCTTGAAAATCGTACTTAGTTACTTTCATGCATTTGCTTTCGAAGCTGAACATACAGCCGATTTAAGCTCACAACTTTGAAGCTCCAGTTGTTAGCAGTGTGGTGAAAGCTGTCTATGAACGAGCCAAAATTGTAGACAACAACCGACGTCAATGTTAACGCCGCGAATCAGGGTCATGAGAAAAGAAAACAATAACAAAGCCTAACCTTGAGAAAAACACCGGCCGATCACGGTGGAGTTAACGTGTGAAAATATAATTCGCAGAGACATGCGTTGACTTTCTGAGAAACGACTAAAAACAGATCACAAAGTAACCTTCGGCAGAAGATCCTTCTCCTCTAACAATATTATACATAAAAATACATGAATACCTCTTGATTTTCTCAATAAACAATGAGTTGCTTGACCTTCGCCTTCTCTCGTTACAGTAGTAGTGTAATAACAGAAGACAAGGGCCAGGAAACAGCTTGTTTATTAAGGAAATCAACACTTATTTAGAGATTTTCATGTACATTATTATGGCTTATTGTTAGCAGAAAAACAGTCTTCTGATTGGTTGTTTCTCACAGAAAGTTAATCTCTCATCTCTTTGTGTCTGTTTCTTGAATGTCAGATCATCTATGTGTTAACTTTATCCTCCTACGCAAAGTCTGCTGTGGTCGGTTGTTGAATCGGTCTCTGTTCTTATTTTTCCAACGACCAATATTGGGGACGTTAATATTGTCGTAAATTACTGTCTACCACTTTTGGCTAGTAGCCACCTCTCACCACAGTAGTAATAGCAATGCTATTCTTTCCTACGGAGTAGGTTACTAGCTAGCCTCAACGATAGCCCTATCTTCCCTCGTCCAAAGGCTCACTACTATCGGTTGTAGGTGAGGTTTAGGAGTGCATCGACCGGATTCCTGTAAATCCTATTCACCACCACCAGGCAGTAAGAACTAATAATACCACCACTATTCACTAATTTATAGGCTGACCTGAAAAATGCAAAGAAGTCAGGACAAGAGATTTGTAGCTGTCAAGTCAATGTATATAAATACTGTTTCAACCAGCTGACAAGCGCGTACCACCAATATACTTTATGATACTGAAATGATAACCCACCATATATATAAAGATAAAAAGTAATCACACTGTGAAAAATAACTACAAGAAGACAATATTGGTAGAAGAACAGGTTAATATTATATATCACGAGCCTCTTCAATTAAGCACAAATGGTGTGTGTTTGTGTATATATGTATGTGTTTGCGTGTCCATGTGTGTGTGTGTGTGTGTACAGAAGACAGTGACCAGTGTGCATTGTGTACCGGTCAACAGAAACGAAATTGGGTAGACATCATCAGACAGGCAGACAGACAGACGAAGAAAATATGAAAATCCACACACTTCTCTCATCATCAATCTTACAACACGATCCCGCAAACAGAGTCAACTACCAGTCATCAACATGCTCTTCAGGGAAAACAATAACAATATCGACAACAACCAGGGGGTAATACAAACTGTTCAAAAATGTTGCTGCTGTCCTCGTTTTTGTTTTGTGATTGGACAGGAAATTCAAGCAAATTCAAGTATAAAATATTGTTACAAAAAAGAAACACAGGTTAAATTAACTACAATAGCAAAACACCTTCACATTTGGTCTGACAAGAGAAGAGAAAAAACGTCATCATCACTCATCAAGAAGACGACGTTACCTGCATAACTCACTCACTAACAAAAGAAATATACAGGTTATATATATATATATGCACGGTCTAGAAATCGGTAACCGTTAGCTGGCATTCTGAAATAAGGAAATTAGCTGAAATAAACTGCACAAAATTATAAAATAAACAAACAAAGAAGGCGGGAGGAGGAGGAGGAATCTGTACAAGAGATGGATAGATCGACAGATGCGCGGGGGAGATACACACATACATAGAAAGGATATTAAAACATCGTTTATTGCATTTGGAAATATTAGGAAGGGTGTTGAAATTAATTGTCTGTACACAAATTTGGATATATATATATATATATATATTCCATAAACTGGTTTCAGAAAAAAAAGTTAGATAGAGGAAGAAGCAGCATCAGGCTGAAGCTGGATTACTGGATTGAAGGATAAACAATAAACTGTTTTCATACGTTACAGTCAGTCCAATACAATACAATACAAGGCATTCAAAGCCGCGCATACATGCATACATACATACATATACAATATATCCAAGTCAACCTGGAAACCATTATAACGACACTGATGATCACATGATGATAATGATGAGAAATAAACACAGAGGTGGTGATAGTGGTGTTGGTGATCATTGAGCAATCAAATTATTAAGTGTCATACTTACTCAGCAGACTAGGCACAATGTACGCGCGTTACACGTACGAGCTGAGAGGATACATTTCACTAGTAATATATTATGTATATGTATATATATATATATATATATATATATATATATATATATAAACTGTTTTACCGGTTGAAAGATATATGAAAGTATGTATTCACACGAACCTCAACGCTGACATGAGTGAAACACACGCACACACAAGTCAGTCGACTGGGAGAGAGCTTCAAGATAATGGGGGCGAAGGGGGGCGGCGAGAAGAGTAGTCATCATCATCAAGTCAATTTGAGTACACCTATTTTTTCTCCATGTGAAAGTTGGCTTGTGAATGTGTTATGGTGTTTGTGACACACCATACAAAAACACACACTGTGGATATTATTACTTTTTGTTACTGTGGATGGGGAAAACCAGCAGCAGCTGCGGCGGCGGCGGCTGCTGCCGCTGCTCCAGCGACCATTCCTTGACCAGGTTGAGGATGTGGTGGTACAGAAAAGTCCAAACCAGCCGGCATAGCTGTATGATGGGGATCTAGTTGAGAAGCAAGCAAACTGGTATAATTCAAGTGTGGATGAGATTGGTTTTGATGGGGATTTCCGACCATTGTACCAGGCGCTGCACCGCTATTAATCATACGAGTATTCCCGCCAGCTGTTACTGCATTCGGCGTGCGTACATTTTGGTTCACTTTGTTGGCATTAATAACACCACGGAATTGATTAGCTGCTAAATTGGTATATGCACCTAGTAAGAAAGTTAACAATAGCAACAGGACAGAATTTACTGCAACTTGGTGAGAATATATTATTCAGAAAACTCTAAAACACAACGCCACATTCCAGAAAAACAGTCTAAATTTACAAGAAACAAAAAAGACTTTTCTAGAATACTTCAAGATATTGGCCGCAAATTAACTACGACTCGAAAAGATTCTACACTATGTTTTGAATGCATGGGCCTGGATAAATCCACTGAACAGAACTCTCTCACAAATGATACATCAAAACAATTCCTAAACATATTAGATGTATTTTAGGCATGCTATTGTAACTTATGCTCATCATATAATTTCCAAGTGCGATTTCCGAATACTTAGATGATACAGTTATGATAACAATTTCAAGGAAGTCAGGTTTGATCGCGAGCTGACATCAGTTAAAGGAACAGTTTGGGGGCTCTTTATCAGTATGCACCCATTCAAGTATTAAGTATCAAGTTATCTGTACCATAATGCATCTAACCAACCGATCGATCCCAACATGGAACTCAGCACAGAAGTGCAGAAGTTCAAGTTTCCACACTCCATGTAGCACACCAAAATAGACAAAAGAAAAAAGGATCCAAAAGTACCATAATATGCGAAAAAAACATGACGGCTCAGTGCATATGAGAGACCACGAGAAGTGAAAATGCATCTGCGCCACTGAGAACGATTTTGAACTATAGCACCAACAGTTTCAAAGCCATTGCTTCTTAGTGTCTCAAGGTCGCCAACCAGACAGTCTAAGCCCCCTGTGTTGCTTCAATTAGCCATTAAGTTTTTTTCACGTCTAACAAATGAACAGAGCAAGCAACCTCACAAGGTTAGTATGATACTGTCTCAGTTGAAATAAACAGAACCGAAATTTTTAACCTGTATTCAAATATGGGCTATCGGTGTGCTTAATCACTTAGGTTCTTGTCACTAGACGTGATACTGAACCAGTTTTCCCTTCAATCAAAAGTTGGCGTCTAAGTGACCAATACATCTGAAGCTTAAGATCTACCACTCAGCATGAAACCAACCAACTACGTAAATAAGACATTACTGATGAATTTTACGAAGAAACAAAGCTAGGTGTTAGTAACCATTTTGATGGGTCTGATACAATAGTGATTTGGTTAACATACATTATGACTAAGATTGACTAACAGAGAATTATTGTGTAGAGTTAATATTGCATGTCACTCACCCACTTGCAACGTCATGCAGTTGACACTCAGCCACACATATATTGTGAAGGCTGAAGCTGCTTAAACCTCAGTGCGTGGAGTGGGGTCCGAACCTGTGACCCACTTGGTTCGAGGTCAATAGCTTAGACTTATAAACCCGAACCTCACCGACAAAATACTCAATGAAAAAACAGCGATTCGCAGCTCAAGGGGATGTTTCTGATGTGGTTGTGTTCTTTAACCTCAGTATTAAAATGCCTACAAAGACAATGAAAGTTCCTCAACTAAATCATCTGACTTAGAAAAAACATGAAAGCGTCCATTGGGACATTAGAGACAACAGGTTTATTGGAGATTTTAAAAATATTATATAACTGGATAGAGTAAGAGAGGAAAATGAATGGAGGTAACACTTCCAACTCGTAGAACAAAAATGTATGCAGTTACAAATGCACAATTACTGGGAATGAAGTCACCAGAAAGATATCGACGCTAACTTCATTTTCGCTAAACCGAAACTGGGTTACGTGAAGTGTCATGTACGGTTTTCACATGCTAGATAAGCCTGTGTTGAGTTTGATTTCTTTTCCTTTAGAACCTTTAGCATTAGCTAGTTAGATCATACTGGTCTTTCGTTTTTACATTACTTAGAAAACTTCGGTCTGTCTGTCTGTCTGTTTTCGACATAGAACTTTGCATATATGTGCACCAGTTCAAATCGCCACTCCATGTAGCACACAAATCAAGACAAGAAAGTAGAAGAAATGCATAATAGAGAGACAGTAAACAGAGGTGTGAGACAAAGGTATAGTAATAACGAAGAACAACATAGTTTAATTGGAAATCATAAATCACAAGGAGTGGATGCATCAGCGCCACTGAGAACGATTTTGAGCCATGTCACCAATTGTTCCCAACCATTTGTTTTTACCATCCCGAGGACCCCAACCAGGAAGCCAGTCTACACCTTCCTACGTGGCTTAGACTAACTGTTGTGGATTTCATTGACTAGTGCCATGTTTTGTTTGACCTCCGCTAGCTTTTTTTCAGCCTGACCCTACATCCGCTAACATTACTCGTCGAGGAAGGCGAAGATCAGGCATATGTAACACATATCCTAACCATCTCAGTCTTTGTAACTTCCCCACTACGTCGATTGATTTCCCCTGTTTACCTAGCACTCACTTGACGCCTAACCTCAATATTGCTCACCTTATTATGCCACTTCACATGAAAGATAGAATGTAGGCACCTATGATCAAAGACAGTTAGCAAGGCTTTTCATGTCTTCCACTCTCAGTGGCCAGGTCTCACAGCCAGACATAAAGGAGGACGGAGCGGACTGATGTGCAGTACACTCGCCCTTTAGTCGATAGTCGAATATCTCGTTCATGCCAGAGGCAGCGTAAACTGGCAAATGCGAAACGAGCCCCCTGTATCCGTGCTGAGATTTCGTCAGAGATCAACCCGTTGGCACTGGCTGATGGTACTTCCCAAATAAGAGGAGCGGTCAACATGCTCCACCAACCACTTCACTCCCTATTTCTAATCCAGGAGTCAGTGTAGTCCAGTCCAGTTCTGTAACATCATCTTACATTTCACAGCAGTAGCGAATCGCATGCCAAACATTCGTAGATTGCAGCTCAAGGTGTTTAGAAGACTCTGCATTTTTTCCGACTCCTCACCTAGTAGCACTTTGTCGTCTGCATATTCTAAGTCAACGAGATTATTCCCTGGTAGCAAGTCAATCCCTGAGTCTCTAAAGTCACTTAGGGTTAAGTCCATTAGTACATCTATGATGAAGTTGAACAGAAAAGGGGATAATGGGCATCCTTGACGGACACCACTAGTCGTCACCACCTCAGATGACAACTCGCCGTAAGCCCTCACCTGGCTGTATGAGTACGAGTAGAGTGCCTTGATCAGTGAAATGTATTTTCTCGGCATTCCCTTTATAGCCAAGCATCTCCAGAGAACTTATCGGTTGACAGAACCGAATGCCGCCTTAAGGTCAAGAAATATAATGATTCTTGGACACCGGTAGGAATGTCTATGTTCTAGAATCTGTCGGAGGGTGAAGATATCATCAATATACCCTCTTCCTGGTCTAAAGCCTGCCTGGCTCTCTCGTGTTTGTGACTCACGAGCACCACTTAGTCTACGCACGATTACTGACCCTAGGACTTTAGAGACTATAATAATCAAGCAAATCCCTTTGTGATTATCACAGGAAGACTTGTCTCCCTTCTTGTATATGGGGATAATCAGTGACTTACACCAACCCGATGGGACTTCTTCTGATTCCCAGACACTGCCTAGTACCTCAGTTAATGCAGACAGTAAGCTGTCTCCACCGTGCTTAAATACCTCTGGAGTCATTCCATCAGGTCCCGCTGCTTTGCCTAGTTTCAGATTGGTGACAGCTTTAGTAGCCTCAGTTAGGGACGGAGGACCTGTGTCTATATCCCATTCAGGAAGGTGTTGAATGTTCGGCAGGTTGAGGGTGGCTATAGGTCAATTTTACTGCTCCTCATAGTGCTCTTTCCAGCGATCCAGTCGTCTATCCTGGGAGCTAATTACAGTGCCATTTTTCTCCGAGATTGTTTCACTTATGATTTGTCTTCTCCCACCCGTTTCCCTGATGAGTCTAAAGAGTTGCCTGGTGTTGCCTATCCTCGAAGCTTTCTCCATCTCTTTGGCTTTTGTCGCCCACCACTGTTCACGGTCCTTGTGGAGACTTTTCGTAAGTTTCCTCTTGTGCAGCTTTCGCTCCTCATTGAATTCGGAGCTAGCCGGAATAAGTCTTCTAGCATCTATCAGTTCGGATGAGGCGGTAGAGATCCAGTGGTTTTTACTCACCTTTAGATTAGGAGACTTCTAGTAAAGTGAATGTCGTCCGCTTTGTTATTTTCTCACCAAAGCCTACTATTACATGCGAATGATGAGCACTGATCCCTCTGATTCTGATACAGTCAATCTAATCATGTAAATTACACAAAACAATAGCACCTGCCTTCAGTGAAACAAAAGCTTCGGAACCTTGAGGGAGATAAGTCTTTCCGTGATAATCACAGAGCGATTAGCTTGACTACTATGACATCGAAAGTTCTAGGCTCAATAATCATGAGTAGACTAAGCGGTTCTCGGGAGGAACAAACACGAGAGAGCCAGGCAGGCTTTAGACCAGGAAGAGGGTGTATTGATCATATCTTCACCCCCCCCCCGACAGATTCTAGAACATAGACATTCCTACCAGCGTCCAACAATCGTCATATTTCTTGACTTGAAAGTAGCATTCGATTCTGTGAACCAAGTAGTATTATGGAGATTTCCGGTTATGAAGGAATGCCGAGAAAAGACGTCGCACTGATCAAGACTCTCTACTCGAACCCATACAGTCGAGTGAGAGCATACGGAGAGTTATCTGAAGTGGTGTCAACCAATGGTATCCATCAGGAATACCCACTGTACCCATTTCTGTTTAATTTCATCGTAGATGTACTAATAAACTTAACCCTAAGTGACTTCAGAGATTCAGGGATTGACTTGTTACCATCAGGGAGTAATCTCGTTGACTTAGAGTAAGCAGATGATATAGTCCTTCTAAGAGAAAACACTGACAAAATCCAGCAGTCTTCTGAACACCTTGGGCAGCAATCTTTGAATATCCGGCAAGCGATTCGCTGCTGTCAAATGTAAGATGATGCTACAAGACTGAACTGAACTAAATTGACTCACTCCTAGCTTAAAGATAGGGAGTGAAGAGGTTAGTGGAGCGTGTTAACCATCTCACCTATTTATTTGGGGAGTTGCATCAGTCAACGCCAGCAATTTGATCGCTGACGAAATCTCAACACAGATACAAAAGACTCGTTTGGCATATGCTGGCCAACTTAGGCCATCCCTGACTTAGTAGACGTGATATACGGCTGGCTGTCGACCAAAAGTCCTACGTTGAAACCAGTCAATCAGTCAGTCATCTATGGGCTGTAGTGAATGTGTAAACTAAGAGACTTTAAAAACCATTGGTATAACGGGACTTACATTTCTTTAAACCCCTCACAAACGAATGTGTGGCATACTGACTACCAATCAAATGATCTCAGTCCACGTTATATGGTTTCCTAAAATAAGTTACACGAACATCAGAGCAATACATTCACGCATTTACCTCATCGCCGACTACTATCTTGCAAGAGACGAAATCTGTTCTGTTTCGAATGAGTGCATCCATAAAAACTACAGACCCATAGTCGACACCTTTATGTGATGGTCAGACTTGCATACGGCAATAATCAAAGTCAAGCCACACGGGCTGCACTGAACTGCCCCCATTCATTCTAGCAACTGATTTTAGTGTTCAAACAGAGACAGGACAAAAAAGTCTCTGTGGATTCCTGAACCGACCATATGGACCGTCTCTTGCTTTTTCTATTCTTGGTAAGAGGTAACTCGAGGCATTAGGAGACAGTCTCACTCAGTGGTCACAGACACCAAAATAAACTAGAAGGCAAATCCAAGTACCCGTACCTGTGTTCCAGAGACTGAGTGGAAGCAATCATCAACCAGCTGAGAAGCACTTACGCACCGAGCTAAACGGTGACATTGCGAAGTTTGTATCTACGCAGGGGAAAGCCAGACACAACTGGGAATAACATCACTACTGATGCACAGGAAGTCCAGTACCTAATCACTAGCTGTAGAAACAGTAGTGCACGCTGCTGATGACTGGTAGCCACTACATAAAAAAGGAAAAGCATTTCTGCAGTTTCATTCAAACTGACAGATGCAAGGAGAGTAGTTCCAGCAGACTCCATATATGACAAAGGGTGTAGTTAACTCAAACGCAAGCTGTTTAAGCCAATGCGGCTACTATAAACACTAGTGGACCGAGAAGACTGGAGAAGGGAATTAGGCAGCAGCAAGTGTTGGTATCAGTCAACTAATTAGACTAAGTAAAAAGGTTTTGAAACACCAATAGGATGTAAAACGATTTCCAAAGATGGAACTTTAACAACTCAGGAGAGGCAGTTGAAACACTGTGAGGAACACTGAAAAGCATTACCACACAATCCCTACCTGAATGGAATGCAGCTAATCAACCCCCCAACTGTATCTGAGATAGGACAAACTGCCTCAACTAAGACAAATTGACAGCAATTAAATCCAAGTGATTCCATGTGTCTTAGATTGGTGACGACAAACTACTGGCCAGATCAAACAAGATAACAGCTAGCGTATTTAAATCCAGAATAGTTCTAACAAACTGATCAAGACTAATGTTTATGGGATAATCTATAATAAATTACTAATATACTATCCAATACTCTAGTTCTCATACTTCTGAGAGGAATGAACATGATCGGAGAGACAAACAAGGAAACTTTGATGAGGACGTATAGACCATATCTTTACACCTCATCAAATTATGAAAAAGCCATGCCTAACAATGTCTGACACCTGTCACTTCTCTACTTTAGTCAACCCTGTTGATCGAGAAGCACAACGGTAGTACTTGTAATCAGGTCCAATGGGTTGAATATAAAATACTTATTTGGCGTTTACCAGCCTACGCGTCCTTCAACAAAAGGGGGGCACTCAACTACTCGTCAAAGGTCGTGAGTATTGCGCAGCAATTTACCCTGTCCTTTTTATAAAGACTACAAGATCGGAGACGTTTAGTTTACCTTAACGACTATTCCCACAGTAGAATGTGCAAACTGTACTAAACACATCACGTTGCCTACACTCAACAAATGGCTAATTAATACAAACTTAAGTACATGGATTGTCTCTACAAACATGATGGAAACAAATGCATTATCCTTGAAAAATTTGACAACCATCTGAATAACACACCAGGGTTGAAAAGACTGAAATAAATGTCAAACGCCAAAAAGGTTTCAAAACAGCGAAATACGAGTAACCACTGGAAATCAGTAGTAACGGAAACATAAGCAGACTAGAAACAATGGCGATTGATAGGTATCCTACAAGAAGCTATAATTTAACCAAACTACAACCAAACGAATCCTATTGCGCACAAGATTTAGGTTTTAAAAAAACTTGTACAAAAACATTACAATGATAAGATACTGTTTACAGTCCAGTTACTTACCATAACCTGAAGCAGCTGCGGCGGCAGCAGCAGTCCCATAGTAATCGTAACCATAATAGTTGTAAGCAAAAGGATCGAAACCAGGATAAGCACTTGCATACTCCCCGTAAGTGTAACCTGGGTACGCATAGCTGGGATCAAACCAATTGTACCACTGTTTTAAGGCTACTAAAAGGACAATATATACTGTAAGACTTCACAAACCTTTCTGTCTGCTTGCCTGATCCCGTGTTACCGCGACTCTTACATCACACTACGGAAGAAAAAAACATGGAATTAGAACTCAAAAAAAAACGGTGTCAATAAAAACCACCCAGATCAGTCGTTAGCTTACCTGCCGCCCAAATATCTCTTGACGCTCCTTTGAAATTGCCTTCTTAGCAGCTGCTTCTGTGGAGAAGCTAACAAAAATGTAATGCTTCCTCTTTCCTTTTTGAGTATCGTATGGAAGGTCTAAGGACTCAACCTATTGACAGCCTCAGGAAGACAAACCTTACTTACCTTCCCAAAGTTACTGAAATACTCTCGTATTTGGTCCTCCGTTACCTCAGGATCAATGCCTCCGACAAAAACTTTTTTCAAAGGTTCTCGTGAAGGCTTTGCTTTTTTAGGATCAATTTTCTTATTTTTAAGCCAATGTTCAGGAACGCTAAGAACCTGTACAGTTATAAGAACAATAAGTTATACTTTGGACACACAGTCTTCACTTTCCAATGTAACGAAGCCAAATCCTCTTGAATTCCCTGTGAACCTGTCCAACTTAATAATGCACTGTGTAACTTTGCCCCAACGGGAAAAGTATTCTTTCAAATCGTCTAGAAAAAATAATTAAATAATCCTGAACGACCGTACTTTCACTAGTTTCCCAGCTAAGACCACCGACAAAAAGTTTTCTACAACCATTAAAAAGCATGTAAAAAGTATACCTGCTGTCGTCATCATTATCATCCGGTACAACATCACCGCCTCCATTAGCCGGTTTTTCGTCACATTCGGGGGAAGAATGAGCATCTGAGTTATTTCCACTCACACCGTTGCTATTTTCAACTACATGCTGTCCTTTAGACTCATCAACCATATTAGGAATCTCTATTGATGGCATTAATGGAGCTAAGATGGAAACCGCCACCACCACCGTTTAAAACAAGTAGCTACAGAGCTTGTCCATGTCATCAATGACAGTAAACCACTTGTTACAACACTTTTCGAATGCATAGATGTACAAAAATCTGAATGTTATCATCCCAGTTTACCTCAGTAACACATCAACATGCACAATGTAGTTAAACTTTGCTAAACAATAAATCTGAAATCTATTGAATGATGGTTTTGATTCCGATAGCTGTATAATGGTTTCCATTAAACTAATGGAGGTGAAAATGACAATCACAACATCTAAATGCCCATTACATGAGACCATGGTGTTGTGAGTGCTCTGAGAAACCTCCAAGTCCGTTTCATTACCTATATGTCGTAGGGTAACTGTGAAATCCAATCTAATGGAAAATCCTAACAGAATTCGTTATTTCCTAGTTAAAAAGGTAGGCCCAAAATAATCCTATCTTAATTCGGACATCCTTACCTTGTCGTTCAATACACCACTTAACCTTGCGTAAGCATCCCAATAAAATTTCTCTCTCTCCCTCTGTCTAGCTACTATTATATGCTACATGTGACTGACGACCATAACGAAATAACTCAATGGTTCAGATATGACTGCTCGTGTATTAAGCAGAACAACACGTGCAGCACCTCAATTAAACCCAATACGTGTGGAGATATCGGCTGTGATAAATACAAGTAGAAAGATTGAGGTTCATGTTAATCCTCTCATATCATATATGTATGTTTGTCTCTTCATCACTTGAACTAGAGGCCATGCTTGGACCAGCAAGCTGATGAGATGTGTTTGCAATCTGATTATGTCGCTGTCTTCTTTCAGGTTTCTCAAGTGTTTAGGCCTCCGGTGTGGTAAATCACAGGATATTTGATGAGTCTAGGAATTCTTTGAATGGCAGAAGGAATAATAGAGGCCTCAGTGTGGTGCCTTAAGGAATACTTCCTGTACTACCTCCCAGAAAGACAATTAAGAGTTGACTCTTAGCTCCCATATCCTACCGACATCGATTTCTTTGATCCAATGGGCAGGATGCCAGTGAATCAAAAGCTTTCTGGTTCCATGATGTCAAGCTTTCTCTCTCTCTGTCAAATGCATCGGTAAAATCTATGGTGAAAACTTCAGTGAGCCTCTCGTTTTTTCCTAGCTAAGCTGGTGTCTCGTGCTGTGAGGCTCATCAAACAGGAGAGTTTTCCCCCAAATCTATGTTGTGCGTCAGACAATTAACTGTCATTTCCAAGACAAACTATGACAGCTTTCTTAATTATCCATCCACTAGCTGAATTAAAACTTTAGTAGGGCCAGCACGCTTACCCTTTGTTCTAAATATCAAAGAGGGTTATTCCAACAAGTCCAAGCCTATGTGGTAACATGGCAGCGGCAAGTGGTTCCAAACGATAACCGAACGTCAAAAAATGAAGTGAGTGGTTACCCTAGACTCTAGAGCGACCTAAGTAGACGGGTGTCATAACGACCTTGGTAAAGCAATTAAATGAAACCACAGCAAATAGGCTAAATTATGGGTGCGCTACCTGAATCATGTTGCAGATTCCATCAGGACCTACTATTTCAGTACTATCTGGGTAATAATCTCATAAGAAGGAAGTGATAAAACATGCAGATGTAAAGTGATGTCTTCACAGTGACCCATAGCCACTGTTGATGTGTATGTCTACAGGTGACCAAACAGTCGTTGCAGAAAATCTGCCCAATGAAGTATGCAGTCCGTTTTCAAAGCTCTTGGGTGCTGTAAAGCGAGGAACGGGTCACGAAACACCATGATTTGAAGTTATCAGGATGAATTTATCTAGAAAAATTGTTTTGGACTATTTTTGAAGAGGTGGAAGGTACTCTTGGAACCTCTTTCCGTCTAACTACATTTTAACATTAAACCAGATTCCTATGGAAAGATTTTAATACCGCGATTGCTGTGGGATCATTTTATTGTCTGTAAAGGTAATTATGATAGTCGCTCTCTTAGATGGCTATAGTTTAGGATAACCAACCAAGGCTAGTTTCAGTGGGATGGTCTGACCTGTAAACCGCTGAAATAAACTATACACGAAATCATCAACAACCGCAAAAACAACTACCAGTTGACGGAAACCACCAAATGCCTTTGTAACGGCATCAGAAACTTTAGAATTAAGGTAAGCAAGCTCGCATTCTAGAGGATCAGAACCAACTGAACCTCAACCGTCACATCCTCAACGATCAATTTTTTATCTGAGGATTGAAACACAGCACAGGATTGGATCTTCAAGGGACAAGGGCTCTCAAGGTCCCTATACTCTCTTCAAGTTATCGTCAATAAGTATACCGGTAACCCTAAACTTTAACGATCCAAAACTAATTATCACCAAAATGGCCTGGGGAAATCTCTATCAACCAATCGCAATAGTTTGAAGAAAAAGCGCGCAACTTCAAAAACTCACAGGAAGTTAATATAATACTAAAATATAGTTATAAAGGGTAACGTTGCTTCATGTGTCGCAAAAAGATTCCTAATTTCTCACTGCAGTCCTCGTAGATAGGTCAAACCAATTTCCATACATAAATTCGTCCAGACAACTGTAAATCGTCGCATCACTTGACCCATTTGCTGCTGTGATCCTTTTTTGAAGTGACTGCACAAACGTTCGATGGAATTCGTTCAGGTCCCATCGAAATGATTTGTGAAATCGTCTGCGTGATTGACCATTTTAAATATAACCCAGGGATGAGAGCTGTCTGTAGATACTTCACTGATCTGTACGTATGGTTGTACCAAGTGAGTCTTAACCCTGGACAACCGATATTAAAACATTCGCGATGCCATTAGGTATCGTCCGAATGTATCCTTCCTGCAGGTTGGTGTCATACAATCCTAAAACCCATTGCTGGTTGACGATTAATCTATAGCGACTATATTTCCTCTTCATCATGAGGGCTTCGTCCAAGTGAAAATTAAGCTGACGCCACCAAGTGCCTATGTCACACTGTCAATTTTTCACAGAAATATATCTCTGCGCTGCGAAATCAGTGAAATCTGGTCTAGAACGCCGCTGCTGCAGCTGATCTCTTCAACACACACGAATGACACCCATCGGAATTTTTGTTAACGGCAAATTCGACTTGGCTAACAAAATGCCTACAGCATCCATAGACAAAAAATGCGGCACACCTCGAATGGAATTTGGCAATGTCAAGGTCTAGCTACACTGGACTTCCTACCCTCCCTGGAAGACTTTCAGGAACTATGCTCAATAACCAACGCGAAAAACGAGAACACATATTGGGGACACAAGAACCCTTTATTCTTGCACCGATACAGAGCTAACCATTAGGTTATTGTACACAAAGTTTAAGAATAAATGTCATAACAATAAATCGCAGTAATACTTCTGATAGTTTTTCTCCCTTCCAATGAACAGCGACCGATGAGACGATGACTGTCGTATTGATGCTTCCGCGAAAATTGGGGAAGTTGATTTTAAGCAAACAACCAAGAATTGATCGTTCAATCTTCAACTCCATTGACACTCCCCGGCAAAATAGGGATCCATCCCTTTTTCCATCACGACCAATACACGTTGACTTGGATGCAATTGAGAGAACCTGGGTCACACGGACAGAGCTGAAATAGAAAATAAACAGAAAAGCCAACACACCACAAGCCCATCCACAGCACAATCTCACACATCAATGACGGCCTACACCTTCTAGTTAAAGGCATCCTCTTAACATCTTGTAACACAATCGCCACTTGCTAAAATGACTCTTGCAGAAAGCAACGCGACCATAGCAGCACCTCATGACACTCTTCGCACATCCTCTTATCTACTCACTACCAATTACCACTGCGATCGCTTGTTACTCATTCTGCCTTAGTTCTAGTAACGGTGACGCATGCAAGCCTCAGTCGTCTACACTCTCGCTCCCTGGCGTGTGGGACCACAGCTAATCATTATCTATGTGTGCATGTTATTCCCAGCAATAGCCTCCCTGGCGTATACGACCCATCTGCTGTCTTTAACATCAATCAATTCATTCACGGATGTAGAAGACTAGAAACAACTCCAGAAGTGATCACGACGAACAATTTAACAAAATTATATAATAACAACAAGATATAAAGACAACAAGTAAACAGAATGAATCCAAAAACACCAATTGATATGACACACCACACGTATATACAAACAGTACAAATAACCTCTCTGATCGTATCTCGATGTAATTCTTTTGAAGAATTGCAGGACTTACACCAGCACGCCTGCAACCCTTCTCAGGTTGACAATTGTGGGTTGAAGAACGTCCAAACACAAACAAAATTGACCAAGAGATACATGAGAGATGATACCAAATCGATATATACGACATGAACATATGTACAAAACAAAACCCTAAGCACGTTGGGCTGCTAACCAATGTACTACCCCTTGAAGAATTGTAGGACTTACAACAGTACGCCTACAACTCTTCTCTGGTTGACGCCTTAGGTTGGAAAATCGTAAAGTGGTTCATCCTCTGACTCTCGACTCTCAGCACCTTCTAGCAGACACAGTTTCCTAATATCTCGTACCAACATACCACAACTTGTTCTCACCTCAACCGTCCTCACCAACCCATCGCCACTACAGAGTAGCCTTTCTATCACTCCTAAAGGCCATCTAACTGTGACGCATTTATCTGCCACTAAGACTATATCACCAACCTTTAAGTTTCTGCACAATTTTTTCCACCTGTCTCTGGTTTCCAGTGTTAGAACATACACCTTTAACCGTCTTTTCCAAAATATATCTTTCATGTGCCTGGCTTGTTTCCATCTTTTAATAGTAGGTGTTCATTCCGCGCTCAAGTCCTCTATGGCAGTATTTCCCCAATAATAATTATTTATTTGGAGTTAACACATCGAAATCCATGAAGTCGTCCCTCACAGGTAATGGAGGCCTAACTCTGGCTTTTAATTACGCCTAACAACCCCCATAAGTCTTTCCCATAGCCCACCTCTATGGCTGGCATGTGGTGGGTTGAAGTGCCCCTCGATGTATCTTTTCAGCAACTCTTCATGAACTCTCGTTTGAGGACCTTCGAAATACTCTATAAGCTCGGCGTGACAGCCAACAAAATTGGTCCCCCTATCAGTGAACATCAACTTC